GTGCACTGTGTGCGAATTCATGTTCTGCTCTTGACTGAAGAGAGTTATGTTTCAACAATGAAAAACCAAGTTTGGGAGGAGCGTTGAGTGTGTCAGAGACGTTCTCCATCATTGTATTGTCTGTGGAATCTAAGCCTGAACTAGAAGAACATCACAGATGCACGGTGCATTGGACATGGAGCACATGCATGCATTTAGATCACGTATATCTTACTTTTTACTGATGTAATTGTGAAATATGTTCTTTTTGCATTCATAATTAGGGGGTGGAACAGATGGTGAAGGCTTAGTTTAAAATAATCTGTCATTAAAATAACCTAGCCTACTGGTAATTCTTCACTGTAACTGGAGTTAGGTCATAGGAAAAGAGTTTGGGGTGATTTTTTTTCTCTCTCTATTGGAATAGAGAAGAAAGAACCACTAATTTCAGAGTAGTGATATACATGAGAGTTGTCCCTATAAGGGCACCACAGTAAGATTTCACTCTGAAATTTGGCTGCTGTGGAATATGCAGGGGGAAAAAAAAGCAGAGACAAACTACTTTGACAAATATAAATCCATTTAGCACGATGCATTAAACATTAGTATACCTTCAATCATGAAGCTACAGTTAGTTTCATACCCTGCAAGGAAATAACCTCATCATTTGACAAATACTGTTAGAGGCACTCAGCTTTGGGGGTTAGGAAACTCTGCCTTACCCTTTCCCTGCTGCACTGATGTCAGGGGATATAAATTATAATTACAGACATTATTATTATTCAGAGATGCTATAGCTCCTGACTTCTGTCTCCAAGCCTCACTCCTGCATGTGTACCTCATGGACTTACTGGGATGTGACAAAGGAAATCTCCTATCAGCCCTATTGTGATGGCTTAGAACTGGTTTTAGTAATAAGAAAACTGTCTTGATAAATCAGCTACTTGCATGCCTTTAAAACGTCAGTTTTACTGTTTCTTCTAAGGTTTTGTTCTCCATCTGCTTCGAGGAAAGCAGATAGATTTCAGCATGACTTTATAATAAATCTTCTCAAGGAGGGACTAGCATTAACATTTGTGTAGGTTCTTTTTCATCTTAATCCAACCTTAGTTAATAATCAGAAAATTCTACATACTGAGTAAGGAGATGTAATTAACCCTTTGACCCCAGAATCTTAATTGGCGCCTGTTGAAAACAGTGGGCAGTTAAAAAAAAAAGTTAAAAACTAGCCTGCAGTGATTGAAACAGCTCAGTGTAGAGGAGCTTTCTTGACTGAAATTTTTAAAAAATTCCACAGAACTTTCAGATTAATCGATTACATTTGGTTCCCAAGACTAACCGATTGAATATTTCTTTCCTCCTCCCACCTTTTAAAATTCAGACGACACCCACAGGAAACCAATATTGATGCTACTCTTAAAAAACTTTTCTAAGCAGGAAAATACAGCTAACCATAGACAGGGTCACCCTGAATGAGAAGGTGATGGCTATATAAAGAACCACCTTGCAGTCTGCTGTAGACCTGGCTTCTCATTCCATTCTTCATTCGCCAGGTAATCCAGCCAGAGTTAGAGACCTTCATCTCATACTGTACATATAATTGACTGAAATGATGGATGAGCATAAAAGTGAAAAATTAGCTAACCAGTTTTGTTTTGTTTCGTTTACCTCTGTGATGACAAACAACTAATCTGACTGGTTATTTTTATCCCCACCAAACTGGCTGTTATTTTTAATTGAATTGACTGGACGCTTTGTGTCATGTAGACATAGGCTCATTTTAATCTCACCAGGAAATTGGAACGTGTTGAAGCCTCTGTCTTTGCCAAACAAAACTGGCCAGTCCTTAGATCGCCGCTGCTTAATAGCATCAGATGTTTAGCCTCCAGATATTCCCTTTCCCTGCTATGGTGTCCAGACCTCCTCTAGTATTTCAGCAAATACATAAGATATAAACCTAATGTTAAAAATTCATAAGCCCTTTTAGTGAGAAAGTAAAGGATGTGTGTCGATGGCAAATGACTAACACTCGGTGTTTTGGAAGACTATAAAAGAAGCCAGTCTAACTCTGATCTTCCGAATGTCAGGAGATATTCCAGACCGTGTTAGACATCTGTGGCATCAGAATCTGCAAATAATCTAATAACTCCAGAAACAGAGCTCTTGGAGGAAATAATTGTCATCCCTCTTAGTCATTCTAGCATGTGAGATGTAAGGGAGAGAGCATTAGGTTTGGAGGTAGAAGTAGATTTACTAAGCCTGGCTGAGCAGTTTGTTAGATGTTGGCTGGATGAAGTTGACTGTTGAGAAATTCAGTCTCCTTGGGAGTTGAATAAACCAACTAGGGACATACAATGTCATAAATGCTTCGATAATACTAACGAAGTGCAGCAGATTTAATCCAGGCTGTGCCACTCGCTAGCGGTAGGATCTTGTCCAGCTGCTAAGCCTTTCCATACCTCAGTTTCCACAGTTGTAAAATGAGGACTTAGACTACAGATTTCTCTGTCCCAGCTCCATCAGCCCTTTCTTCTGCTCTCACTCAGCCTTCCCATTGTCACTTGTCCCTATAGACATTTTCTTGTGATCTCTCTCTCTGTGTCCTTCTAATCTGACAGTGGCATTTCAGGGTTTGAGAAGATGGCTTACACAACTCTTGGTGATTGTGTGCCAGGCCATGGCTATCAGGTAGCATGGAAAAGCTAACCGGGCCCTTTTCTCCAAGAGGAAGATCAAAACGGGGAGAGTCATAATCCTCATGAGTCACCCTCAGGAGACGTCTTATGTGACGTGCAGACGTGTTGGATGAGATCCTTCTCACACTTCTGCAGAAGCACCTTCTCTCCTCCACTGGTTTAAATAAGGTTCCACGGTAACACACTCCATGCTTGAAAGGTGGGATCTCATGAGGGGTGCTGGCGGTTTTGTCAAAGCTGCGGAGCCCCACTCTCTTCAGTTGTATTTCGCTCCCTGTCCCATAGCTGGTTCCAGGAAGCATAGACCAGGTGATCTACCGTGAAAGTGATTTATGAACTCTTTTGTCACCCCATTTCCCACTTTTCTGCTACTACTACTGAGAGGATTCTGTCATTTGAACAAATCACTCAAAAACAAGTGATGAATTTTAAGAAGTAATAAGCTGTCTCAATATAAATATTTTAACTTCAGAAATGCTGTACAGTTTATTTTTTTCACTAATACACACATATCAACTAGAGAATATTTTTAGTCGAAGGTAGTATAGTTACTGCGTCTGTCAGTTTTCCAGTCCCAACTCCACCACTTACTAGGAACAGGCATGTTGCATAACTTTGTTAATCCTCAATTTCCTAGCACGTAAAATGTAGATAATAGTATAATTACTTCAAATGGTACTTGTGAAAATTAAAAGTGATAGTACATGCAAACTACTTAGCACATATTGCTTAATAAATATAAGCTATGATTACNCCACTTACTAGGAACAGGCATGTTGCATAACTTTGTTAATCCTCAATTTCCTAGCACGTAAAATGTAGATAATAGTATAATTACTTCAAATGGTACTTGTGAAAATTAAAAGTGATAGTACATGCAAACTGCTTAGCACATATTGCTTAATAAATATAAGCTATGATTACTGTGTACTATCTTAACTAAAAGCTTGTTTATTATGTAATTTGCTTTTATGTAAAATAATGCAATGTGACTTTTGAATTGTTTTTAGAACCCACTAAATTAGAGGGGCGATGTTGGGTGCTACCCACAGATTCTGACCAATAGGGCTATGAAAAAGGATCTGGAAGCATGGAATTTGAATTTCATATATACATATAAGTATATATGTAAATATATACATACACATATTCCAACATGCATAGATGCATATATACATAAACACATATATCACTCTTAAAAAAAATAGTATTTTAGGAGACTGAAATTATTTCTGAGATTTGAGGTAGCACATTTTTCTAATTAAATTTTACATGCTTCTTCCACATTTTAATATTTAAGAATTATATCATTAATTCAGTGTTGCCACCTACCTGGTTCCCACTCTGGGTTTCCTGGACTTCCAAATTCACAGCCTCCGTATATACCACATACTCTTTAAAACTTCTTTTCCCATGCAAGCAGCGTTCTTGCAGTCTACCTGGTTAAAAATAAATAAAGCAAAACAAAAATCATGAAGATGTTGGAACATAAACTGCACTTGGCTTATAAGAATGTGAAACAGCTTTATTCTCAATTTGAGTGGCATATTGCAGCTGGGGCCCCTGATGACTTACACCATTTATCAAACTGAAAATGCAGCCCTCCACTTAGAAAGTGAGCTAAGGTTTCAAGAGTTACAGATGATGTGTAACATCCTTTTTCCCCCCTTTCTTCTTTTGTTTCCATTTCAGGAGTTGTAATAGAAAGTAGATCTGTCACAATAAAACTTTAATACAGAGTTTTGCAAAAAAGGATCACAGTTTGTTAAGGTCTCCGCCTATAAACATTCCCCCGCAATGTACTGACTTCCCCTGTGCGTCCTAACAATAGGCCCTGGGAGTGCGAAGAGCAGAACCCTTTGTTAATTAGCAAATTGTTGGTGTCTATAGTTGCTCAAGTGGTGATTTGACTTGCTCTTCATAAGGAACCTTTTTTCTCTCATTTCATTACAATTTCCATTCCTGTTCAACTATTAAAAAGAGAATCTTGCTGATTTAATCTTAGCAACTACTGAATCCAGAAAAAAAATAGAGGCAACATCTCATAAAATCAGCATGACCTGATTTTATACATGAATGTAATGTATCTTGGTCAAAATGACAGGGACATAAGGAAGTTGCTGAAATAAAGGAAGGCTTGTAATCTTAACTGAGTCCTTTAATTTGTTCATGTATAATGCAATGCTAAAAGATCTTAGGACTTTTGTTAAACACGAAGGGAAAAAATGGTCCTTAATTTGATATGTGTTACTTGTATCAGATGCCTTACTAATTAAATCTCCATCACATGTATTTATTAACCTACTTATTTATTTTTTTCTGCAGTCCCTGGATGGCTTTGTATTTGCACTAAATCAAGAAGGAAAATTTTTGTACATTTCCGAAACAGTCTCCATCTACCTAGGCCTCTCACAAGTAAGTAAAACTGTTTTAGATTCTTGGTGGCGATTGTGAAGGCTCCTTGAGCCTCATGCTTTTACCTCCTCACTGGATATTCTGTTTAGCATGAATTACCAAATTTATTTTTTGATGGATCTACCTGACTCTTCTCACAAAGTCAGTGGGAAAATGGTATGTCAGCTTGGAACGTTCGGAATAAACTTGTGCTCAAAAACTTTAGGCCCCCGCTCCACGCCCCCCCTACCCAGGATCATTATTAATTTATTGAGAACAAATGAAGTTTCTTCCCTCGGTTGTTTTGAACTTTGAAACCTCTGCACCTGGTAGGAGAGGGACACAGGGATAGCTCTTCCCTTGTGTCCTATTACTGGATGTTTATGGAGTACCCTGCATTGTCCTGGGAGCTGACACAATGACAGGGAGTCACTGGAGTCAAGAAATGCTGAAAGAGACCATTAAAATGTGTTGCAGGGAGGGTTCAGCAAGGATATATTTTGCTTCCTTTGCAAATACTTCCTAATGCTGAAAGACAATTTCATAAATTTAGATAGCCTTTTATTATTTGCAACTTAATTACTCACATGTGTCTGTTAGAGGTTAAAAGATAAGAAAATGGAGGCAGATGGGACAAGGGACAAAATCCTACATGTTAGTTCTTGCCATTCCTCTGGAACGCAAGATTTGTACTTCCGCTGGATGCAAGACAGCAGGCTGTGTCTAAACAATGCCAAAATGCCCTGAAGAAAGGATTGCGATCCAACTAATTATCCAGATGTTTTCTCCATAAAAATGCTGAACATCTGGCTATTTGTGCCCATCCAGGTGATTGGCTGAGTTTGACCCTTTTCATCTGGCGGTTTGGCAGGAGGGAAACGCAGCCCGGGTGGGAGGGATTTTGTGCGTGTGTATGTGTGATGATCTGCCAAGTTGGATAATCTACTTCTCATTCAGTTGCCCCTTGGAGCTAAATATGGAGATAAGATTTGTCTTCTCTTAAGCAGGCCCCATCCCAGACTCCTTGCTCCTGAACGTTGGCACCGCTCTAAGGAGGTCTCCAGCGCGGCGGGAACCTTTTGGCTCTTAGTGAATTTGCCGGGTGATAGCTAAATCAAGAAAGGCACTGGGAAATAATAAAGAGACATATTTGGCGTTTGAGGAGGGTTGGGGGAGGAGAAACACTGCCAAACTTGATTATTTACTGTTGAGAATCCAAGCCAGGGCCCATTAACTCTTCCTTGAGGAGGGAGCAGGCTATTTGCTACGGTGTACAGAGTAATTCTACTTTATGGGACTTCAGCAAACCAAATGATAGAAACCGAGCTGTTGTTAACTCCGTGTTAGTACCCTTGCATCTCGTTGAAAGTTCTGCTTTTGTAATTGCCTTTAATAGACTTTAAGCCTTATCTTAATCTGTTTGGGACCTAGTATTAGGAGTCTCCAATTTTGAAATCGGAGTGCACCGTAGTAGGTATAAAAGCAGAAACGCCGCTATCTGTTGGTCTGCAGTGCCCATATTCATCTGTTTTATGCAGACTAGCCAACAAAGTTTGATCAGCCAGTGAAGAAGAATGAATAATTAGTTTAAGCAGGTAAATGCTAATTAGGGAACTCCTGAAAAGCATCCATTATATACTAGCTCAGAACACATTTTACAGCCCTGGTTAGTGGTGTAATCCAAATCCTGTCAAGGCAACTGCATTTTCTGTAATTGAGATGTGTATGTTTGCTTTGCATAACAGATGGCTCTGTATGCTTAGACTGATAGCTAGGAAAATAATAATTGCATTATTCTGGCCAAAAGAATATTAGCTCTTGGGTTTTGGCCATTTCAGTCAGTCCTCCTGCCAGCACAGCATATGTACATATATGGATTGGATTTTCAAGGAAATTGATGCATCTGGAATAGTGTGGCCATCTGAAATATCATCTGTTCAAGAAAAATTTGGCTTTAACCCTGTGCTGGTTTCTCCTTAAAAATAGTTGATTTCACTGCTTCTCTCCAGTAACATTAAGTCAGTCTTGTCCTAAAATCTGAGTCAAATCAGTGAGGTCTCTGCAGAATGCAGCAGCTCCGTCGACATGGCACGTAGCTGGCAACTTCCTTGCAGCTATTCTCTGCTTGTATGTGATGGGTTTCAAAATGCATACCTATAGTCAGCATCTTGACTTCCCGGGGCAGACACTGGCCTACTGTGCTGTGGCCCTCTGGGTGGATGTGTTCCGTGTTGCCAGAAATGGTCAAATATGCTGGTAGAGGCTATGGGGTACGAGATGGAGGTCGTGCTTTGGAGACATCATGCAGCTGAAATGATGAAGGGTAAGTCACTGGAAAGTGATTTTTGCATATACCAATGTGCGTATTTAGAGTTCAGAGCTAAAGTTTAAGAATAGTTCTGGGTTAATGTGAAAACATCCTGATAAGAGCATGGTATGTTTTAAATGCCCAAAGAATGAGGGGAAGAAAGGCTATGCTAAAGCTTTGGGAAGGATTTCCAACCCAGTTAACATCCTAAGTCCTAATTGGGTAACCAAGGTTCCTGAGACATAACCTTTCCCCAGTTGCCTCAGTGCCATCTTCAGTTGTGGGAATGCAGAGTGCTCATGGGTGACGTACAATGTAAAATACACTCCAAGTAATTGAGTACATGCCTACTGTTTACACACACAATTAATTAAGTGCAAACCAATGCTCTGCTGTGTCCTACAACTTGGCTTTAGTGGTTACTCTATCAAATTCTGGACAGTGATAAGGAATCTGTAAAGTTATGGTCCCTCTTCTCCTTTTGAAACAGTTTCATTAAATAAAGACAGCAGGTACCTGTAGCGTCAAAGACTCATTCAGTGAAATTGCTGAGGGATATTGTGAGCATGGCGGGGTGTTAGAGCATAGCTCTGTCTGCATGTGTGACTTTCAAGATATTCCTTCCTCAGTTTTATTTTCTTTCAACATGTAAATAAATACGGTGGCTTTAAAACGGCTTATGTTAAGAAAGAATTAGGATTCTTTTTTAGCTCATGAGAAAACTGAGTAGAGAAACTTCTACTGAGCTCTGCTGTGTAGCACGAATATAGAGACAGCCAGAGCAGATTTTTCTTCTACATTCCACTGAGTGTACCAACTCCTGGTGTCCAGGGTACGCGTGTGCCAATTATTCTCTCTAGAGTATTTTCCTGCTGTCATGATGATGGGCATGAAGGATCTGTGATGATATCTGAACCTCTTCAGCAGCCCTTTTGACTTTGCCAGAGATATATACTTAACCTAACATCCAAGATGTAATTTCAGGTTATAGAAATATGTACTGTTGGCTTGCTTCCCTTAGTAAACATGATTTCCAGTGACTCACCATGAGGCCTTATCTTAAAGGAAGACCCCCCAAACATCAGTGCTGAGTTTGGTTTACATGGAGATTAAATGACTTCTTATACCTGCTGATGGCCTTCAAAGCTGCTAAGCACAGCTCTGCTCTCTAGCTATAATGGAATAGGGAGGAATGAAAATGAAGGAAGAAAACAGTAAGTTTCTAACACTGAAAATGTAGCAGTGATATATACCCAGCTTTTATGAAATCTTTCAATTTATAAGAGGCTTAATCACCAAGAATCCAAAAGAGACTTTATATGATAAAAAAAAAAAAGCATTTCTAGTTTGATATAGGATTTAAAGCAGCTTAGAGAAATATTTATTGGCTTATACCTTCCTCTTTCTACAAAGGCAATAGCTTACATAAACATATACAATAAAAAAAGTAACAACAAAATAGAACTAATATATAAGGATAAAAGATAAAAGTAGGTAATCTTTTACCACAGAATAGGTTAGCACAATAGAGGCTTATAAGAAGAGATATAAATGGTCTGATAAAACTTCAAATGTAGCTAGGAGCTTCCTGTTAGCCAAAGCAAAAAAGGGAAATACAGCCAACCATCAAAAATAAGGAAGGATCACTTCTTAAGACAGAGTTTTTCTGGAACAGAAAGAGAAAAATAAATCTCAGATACAGTTTTTTGTAGGGACTAATATATATGGATTATATGTATTGATTTGCGTCCAGTGGAGTCCACATTTAGAGCAAGGCTGTAGTGACCTATATAACAAACATAAACACACATGTTGCAAATCTCACGGTCAGGCAGAAGACCTCCCACCCCCTATTTCAGCTGTTGGTGTGCCAAAGATAATTTTGAGTTATCTTCTGACATCTAGGACTTAAAATAGCATTGACTAATTTGATGGTTTATGTGCTTTTAAATCAGCTTTCACTGTTCCTACACAAATCCTGCATTTTCTTTTAAATACTGATGAGAAATTTAACATTATAGTTGCCAGAGGCAGAGGACATGGGTCTTAGTTAATCAGAGTATAAAAAAGAACTCATAGCTTCTGGAAACATTTTTCCTTGAAGGTAAAGTGAGAAATGATTATGATGTATACCTAGGCCAGCAAAATGTTTTCAAGTTGACATAGATCCTATTTAAAATAAAAGGGGCCCTGGGCAGGTAGCTCAGTTGGTTAGAGCATCATCCTGATACTCTAAGGTTGTGGGTTTAATCCCATACCCGGTCAGGGCACATATAAGAAGCAACCAATGTAGAACAACAAATCAATGTTTCTCTCTTTGTCTCCTTCTCTCTCTCTAAAATCAATAAACAAAACAAAATGGGAAAATAACAGATTTTCCCCTTGCGATTTCATTAGAAATACCTGCAGCCAGTTAAGCCCTCTCTTGAAATGCATTCTAATCGCCACCCACTGCCTCCGAGGCCCAGCTTGCCTATGGGTCACTTCCCTTCTTCTCATTAAGTCCCCATCATGGTAAAAGGTACTTCCTTGCTGTTGTAAGCCAGCCAAAAGGTAGCTGCAGACAAGGTTACAAATTGGCTTATTTCAAGGCAGCTTGCTAAAAGGGACAGGTGGCTGCAGATATAAGAGCTAGTAAAGGTGAAGGTGAAAGGGGTAAATAGTTGTTTTAATCTTTGTCTTTTTTTTTTTACCTGGAGAGTATTATGCTAAG